TCAGGCTCGCAAACATGGTATCCCAATTGCGTGGATCAATGCTCATGATATCAGTCATATATCATGAAACACTGAACATTGAACCATATATGTAATCCTGACACAGGACACCTCACATTTGAAGTCAGGATTTGTGTGAGTCAGTGTGTTGGGTTTAACGCCGTTTTGAACAGGATTCCAGTTATATCACGGCGTGCCAGCTAGACGTGGGAGGAAAGCCCATAGTGATGCAGGTTTCAAACGTTTATCACCTTGGTGAAACCCACAAGCACGGGTGTGGTGCTGACAAACCTAGAAAGGTAATCGGGGCGAACCGGGATTCGATCTCACAATCATATGTTTTCAATGGACCTAACTCTTCGCTGTGAATTGTTGCGCCTTAGACGACTGGGCCACCCATGGACTCAAATCAGAATTTGATCAACAACTGTTTATGCAACATCGCGAGGGCACCTTTTTAAAACGACGTCCAAGCTTATACTTGATTATCTGTTATTATATTCATTGAACCAATGACTTGCATGCACAAAACATGATAATGATGTATGATGAAACTATTCCTTTGTCACACGGATGTTATGTGTGGATAGTGCTTGAATAGGATCCGACCCGTGACGATCCGGGGTAGAATAGGTCTTCTGCAACCCATGCTTGTCGTAAGAGGCGACTAACGGGATCGGGTGGTCAGGCTCGCTGAATTGGTTGATGCATGTCATCGTATTCCAATTGCGTGGATCGATGCACATGATGTCAATCACTGGATTGTCTGGTCCAGACTCGATTATTTACAAACCGCCTTCATATAGCTGGAATATTGCTGAGTGCGGCGTTAAACAACAAACAAACAAACTGTTCATAGAATTTTAGATCTTCACAATCACCGGGTGTGACCATGTAGACAGAATCTCGTTAGGGTTTGTGATTTTTACATTTGCCCAATGACCATGGTGAGTATTGTTGGGGATACCAAAGGTGACAGTTTACTATTAGAGGAAATTGGTTGTGAGTACTCATACCATTCGGATAGGATATCTTCAGGATTTTAATCTTTTCCTTCTCTGTGGGTAATCCTTTCACGTTGATGGAAGGAAGTCACTCAACCAGGTCATGACAATGGTAATACGCAAGACTCGGAATCGCGAAAAGATCACCAGAGGTGTTGATGGAGGCTGGAATGCAGCATACAGCATTTCTAGTGTAGGCTGCCACCTCGTCTTTGTTTCAATCGGTATTTAAAACCTTGACCATTCACAGGTGCATTTGTCTATTTACAATGAAGTTGTTTGCTTACTTACTTTGGAGATTTAACGTGCGCTTTCCGACTGATGCGTATTTCGCACACGGTTGTTTGGCGTTCCCAGTATTTATATTACAATCTCACTGATTACTTGTTAACTGGTCACTGCAAGTGCCTTAATTATTTATGTTTCAGTGAACTGAGTTTACTCACATGTTAGCTTTCAAAGGTTGTGAAAGATACTTGTAAAATCCTCAGTTTGAGTTTGTCACTAACTACTGTGAGCGTTTTTGGCATGACTTCTGTGCTTTTATAAACACAGTAACTGCTAAAAGCGGCGTAAAACCATGCTCACTCACAGTAACTGTTAATCCTCTGCATTGTGCTGGCAAATTGGGGATAAACCTGTGACGATCAAACAGACATTTTTGTAAACTTGAAAAGTGATGATGAATTTTAATATTCATATTATTATAGTTTTTCAAATTGTCAATAAAACTTTGATAAAATTGTGCTACACTCTCTGGAAAAAATGTATTTTCTGTGGGTAAGTTTATATGTCACGTCACATCAGCATTTATTTTCAGTTATATTGCGGCGAAATAATTGCCAGTTTTTTGGGACTACATGTAACCTGGCTGCGTTTATTTTCTTATACAGGTGCTTGGCTGCCTCGGTAGTGCATGATCAATTAGAATTTTTATTGTGTAAACAAATCAGTCGGGTTTGCAATAATAGATGAATAAGTTGATAAATTTGCACCGCAGTTACCGATTAACAACTTAAGACATAGAGACAGGTAGTCGATATATAACATACGTTATGGTCCTGTTAAGACGATTGACAGTTAGAACGTTGGAGTGAGTGAGTATGGCTTTACGCTGCTTTTAGCAATATTCCAGCAATATCGCGGCGGGGGACACCAGAAATGGGCTTCACACATTGTACCCATGTCGGGAATCGAACCCGGGTTTTCGGCGTGACGAGCGAAAGCTTTAACCACTAGGCTACCCGACTAGAACGTTGGAGTAAATGGCCCTATATTGTAGGGTCAATCGCTTTTGACATGTTTAAACTCACTTTAAGGCACATGACAAGTCAAAGCTGGCCGCCCTGATTACGTTCTTATGTTTGACAGCAACAATGCCTGTTGATTCAGAGAAAGATTTTTTACCTTGATCTTCTTACAATTTAGCGAAAATGTCTTCAAAGTCCACAGTTTGTTAAATCGTACAAAAATTAATGTGTTAAAAATCAACGTTTTCTTTTATTGAACACAATATTTGAACTGTATTGCTGTAAACAATTTGCCTGCTGCCTATGTAACTGAAACATATGTATGTATGATCTCCATATGCAACGTCTTATGACCTCTATTATCCCTGCTGACGCTATCATAATGTTCAATTTGGGTCTGGCACACCAAGCGTGAATAAGCATTATACATGTGTTGATAAACCACACTGACGCATATACATTTTTGTAGATATGAAACATTCTAGTTAATTGTGGATACACTGGGCACATATACATAAGAAAACCCCGTGACCTATGAATTGGTACCTTGATATGCATTACATTACATTACATTACATTATTGAGTATAGTAAGGATTTATAGGTATATATGTTGACTATAAATTATAAATGATGTATATATGTAAATACGGATATATCAAATATAATACTAGAACATATGGATTTTTGTTACAGAGGGGGAAAGTTTGAAATATAGATAAAATTACGGCCTAATATATTAGTAATGTATAGCTTTGTTAGATGTAAAGCATAGCAGGATATAGTAATATAAACAGTTAGGCTGTTTTTGAGTATGAGGGGCCTGCTAAATAAAGGAAAACTAAAGTGAAGCCTAGCTTCAACATTCATATATTTTTATGTTAACATGTTTTATAGCGCTTGTACAAGAAACATATTCTCCAGCAAAAGTAATTAAGCATTAAGAAACCTGACAGACACTTTTGACGTTCAATCCGTAATCTGTAGGTTTGTTCATAGGGATCGATCTTTCTGAAGCATTGTTTTCACACAACAGCCGATAACCCCTAAGCTTACTCTGCTCCATTCGCCTTATTCAAAACAATTCCGCGAGAGAAGTTTCAGCTCTAGTGACCAACTGCGAGTAGGCTTCTTTCCCGGGAATACCTCTGCCTTCTGGCTTCAAACGACCGAAGCATTTATTTTGTAATCTAGGCTTACATACATTTACACACACGCACGCACACACATAAATACACATACATAATTTACATACATTTAATCATACATACAGTCATACATACCATGCATACACATAGCCATGTAACCATGCGTACATACTGAATAGGAAGCGTGTGTAAAATCTTTATATTGTGGTAACTGTCACACCTGACTTATTTGTCTGAATGACACGTCTGAAAACAAGGGGTGAACCGTTACACAGTAACTCGGGGTAACGATTTTCTGTGCTATAGAATCAAAGTACCGTTGTGCTGCATGTGTATGGAGTACATATATCTCACGATGATGTGTCATTCCTTAACCAGTACGATGTATGGCATAAGTATATACACTTAAAAGTAGACACATGTTAACGATAATAATGACAGAGAGATAAAAAAAAACGCAGGTCGGGTAAGTATTATTACCTTGGTTAATTATAAGTTGCCATTTTTTAAACAGTTTTTCATAAGATGAAAGAAATGATGGTGCAGAAAAAAGACTAGCAATTAACACTATAACCGTGATGCAAACGCGTTACTTTATACAATCCACAAAGAACAATATATAGGACGCCTTTTTACTATTTATTCGTTATATGATATCAATAATTCATTTATTGATACTAAAGAATGGATTTATATCACACATTTGATTTTGTTTGATCATGAAATGTTTATTAATATGGCAAATCGGTTTTTAGATATCAATAACTGAATTTATTATCAAATGATGTACTTTATCATCTAAAAAATAAAATATGGTATTGTATCTATAGCCTTCGTCTCCGTGAACGTTATGCCCATTTTCGTAACATTTGCATATATGGTCATATTCAGATGATGTCTCTACATATATGTAAGGGCAAGCTTCTTCCCTTTGTTTAATCAGCAGCTGTCCTCCTGGCTATGAATGTGGAACACAGGCTTTAGGGTTACATATGAATCTTGTTATCATTGTATTTTAATGCGATTTGAATATTATTATTTACTATCGTACTTACTTTATGTTTTAAATGAGACGTTTTATATTTAGATGTCACCACAAATTACAATTATTGCTTGTAAGCTTAACACAATTGACAAATACTCTAAAATATATGACTAGTAAACCATTAATGTACGTTAAAAATATATATTGTAAATGCCAAAATGATCTATCCAGGATCAAGTAGAAGATATATGGACAGCAGCGCTGGGAATTTATTCAACAGGCCCGTGAAAACAATCCTGCTTTAGCTCAATGTTTACCACTCCTGGCGGCCATTATGCAACGGCCATCTTACACACAACCCCGCGCTCACGTCTACAGGTCTCTTCCTGTGGTACGGTAATTAGAAGAACCCTCTCCCTCAAGTGTATCCTCCCTGATATAATCTACTCTCATTAATTAAATGCTGCCCTTTCCCAGCGTCACGGCTATGGAGCTGAGACAAAGAGACCCAACCATCATAAAGTAATTAGTGTCCAGTAAAAACAATGCTCCATTTTGGAGGTCTACGTTATGGGAGGGAACCCACCAAACCTCATAAACATGATCACCGAAAGTCGTACTACAGACGTTTAATGTCAAATCACCAAAAAGCATTTGAATAGCAATAACATTTAACAGGATCATGTATTCTCTTAACACCATCGCAAAACACAATGTAGAAGCCACAACAATACTCATATTTTCCAACAAAATCACATCTAAAAATGAGACATCAGCAAGTACATATATAATAAAATGTGTATTAACATTTTTCGTCAGGAAATCAAAAAGTTATCTTCTTGTTACCACCTCCAGGTTCAGCTAGACATGGGTCCTCCTTTGGTCAAAAGTTTGTTCCCCCTCTAATGAGTGTGTCACGCGTTGCACACGGGTATCACACGCGTAGCGGACGGGTTCCACACGAGTGACCAACTGGGTGCATACGGGTTGCGTAAAGCGTTGCCCATGCGTGTAAGGGGGATGAACTTCTATAGGCAGTAATGTAGGTGACTGCGGCGTAAACAGTACATGTAGTACTTTGATACAAATAGTCTTCACACTTACTACTTTGGTTTAAGAAAAAACGCCAACCAACAACCCAGGTTTCTCATGGAAAGAAACAAATCTGTTTTCCTGATTTTTGCACCCTTTGAAGACTTTTGTTCTCAAGATCGTCACTTTTCTCCTCTCATAGTCTAGGATGAGGAGTCGTGTCACTTGCACCATTTGAACACTTTTGTTCTCAAGACCTTCACTTTTCTCCTATGGAAGTACAGGAGGAGGAGGACGATGAGCGCAACCATCAGCAGCAGGCTGATGACTATCAGGGCGATCAGACCTCCACTCAGCTCCCTTCGCTCATCTGGAACAGAGAACATATTGTACATGGGCACTGTGCGCAATGGCAAGCCAAACCAGACAACTGACACAATGTTAACAAAACATTAACTTTTAGCGTTATCACATGTTACATACATGTTATCAAAGGTTATGTACATTTTCCAAACAACTGTAACATAACATTCTATTGTATTGACATCCAACAAGGGTCAATGATGATTGTTTTCTTAAGTTGACAATGTCATGGTTTGAAATAAAGACTATATAGACTAAGACAAAACGCTTTGGCATTAACTTTCTACTCAAATCCTCAGGTAGTTTTGATTGGTTCACGTGAACGCTGGTATAACCTACGGTAACGCTTCTGTCACCATTTAACTGTCGGATAACAGTAAGGTGGATAGCACCTCCATTGCGAGCACTGAACCTCGCACATAGTATGCGAGCAATGAACCTCATACATGGTATGCGAGCATTGAACCTCACAAATGGTATGCGAGCAATGAACCTCACACATGGTATGCGAGCATTGAACCTCACACATGGTATGCGAGAAATAAACCTCACACATGGTATGCGAGCAATGAATCCTAAACTTAGTATGCCATTGATGAATCTTGAATCGTAAGCTAATGCGTTGGGTGTTACTCTGCTTCGAACAGTATTTCACCGACATCAGGGCAATTGGATGAAAACATGCCATTGAAGAGTACGAATTTAGGTCAAGTACAGAGCAGGGGCAGATGCTGGCAAGCCTGGTATACTAATTCGGGCTAATCTTACTCATCATCATCAGAACAACACAAGGCCGAAGAAGGAACTCTGCACACTGTTATGCAAACTGGTCCGAGACCACTGGAACACAGTACATTAAAGCGGCAAAAACCCTTTCCATATCCAATAGAAATCTCTGCATAAAGCAGAGTCAACTGTATAAGGTATTATGGAAAATGATGTGATGCCTACAGAACACTTACCATCAAGAGGAAATTCAAAGGCTGTGTAGTCTCCGCACACTGGATATCCAGGAGGGCTGTAGGGGAGTTTAGATGTCGACTCGTCCACCAGCACCGCTAGACCATTGGTGTTGTGAATATCTACCATAGATTGGAGGTACCAAAGTCCCAGGTTATCGGCCTTGAACCTTAAAACGACATATCCACCAGATGGTACTACAACTGTGTCCTTGAGAGGAGGGATCCGGGGATTGATTTCCGAAGCTTGCCAGTACTGCCCTGGTCTCCACTTCGCCTTATTGCAGTATATGTCCTCGCACTCAACATCGTCATTGTCATTCAACACTTCACCAGAATAACTTTGGTATTCTGGAAAGCCTTGATACGCAACGTAGAAGGAATGGCCGTGAAGATGAACTGGATGGGAAGCCCCCTTCCCTGAACCCTTATTCAGCAGGATCATCTCAACGATGTCCCCTTCGTTGATGTAGACAGTATGCATGCAAAAACACGGGGTTCTGTCAGGACTGCAAGGTTCATTACACTCTATGTTAACCTGGGAACGCTGTGTTAGTGCTGACACCGTGGGTGGGAGAAACCGAATGCCGTTCACAGATCCAGGGTTGGTGTCAATTCCAGGGAAGGCAAAGTTGAGGAAGAGCCTTTTTGGGTAACGCTCTTTGATAATTTCATCTCTATTGGGATCAATAGCATATCCATTAGCATCATTTAAAGTAATGCATGTCAAGTTGGGCATTCTGGAGAAATATTTGAATGGGCAGTTAAATACCCTGCAGGGTAAAATTCCTCTCGGATTACAAGGGTGGTCTGGTGTGCTTAAAGATTTGTTTAGTTCCACGTTATCATATTGTAAAATGGCTTCGGCAATATGACGAACAGGTACATTGACTTCAAGGGTCTCGGCAATTATTGTGTATTCAGTTACATTGAAAGGATTTGAAGCGTTGAGTAAAACGTCAAATCGTTCCCCGGCCTGGATAATAAACGAGTCCACTTCAATTCGCTGCAGGTCTTGTCCGTCCGTTGCTATGACAGTGAGGGCATGACCAGGGACATATACTCGGAATGCGTACATCGTGGCAGCGTTGATGACTCTAAACCTGTAAACCATCCCCTCTGTGACAGCAAACCTTGTAAGAGGAGCTCCATTATGCCGACCCGTTATCGGATCGTAGAACCTGCCCCGTCCATTGATCAATCCACTGTGGAATTCAAAATTACCAAATTTGGTGTTGTCCGATGATCGTGTTTGCTCATATTTAGAACAGTTGGCGGAAGTGGAACAGGAATACGCTGAAGTGACACCCTTCAGATACACCGTTTCAGGATCCAGATCATGATTCCAGTCCTGCAGAAGCATGACATGCTCGGGTACATACACCTCCTGTTTCCTCTTCACAATGAGAGGCCCGTACAGGCCCAACCCTGTCTGTCCTGAAATCTGGGAATGGTAATAGTGGGTTCCTGCAGGATTTGCCTTGAATTTATACTTAAATGTTACTCCCGGAAGTATGGGGCATTGGGTGATATAGGGTACCCCGTCCATCCATGGACTATTTTTCTGGTGGATGCCATGAAAATGAACGGAAACACTGTCAGCGTGGAGTCTATTTGTAAAGAACACTTCCACCTCCTGTCCTTCATAAACAACGATGGGAGGCCCAGGGAAGTGTTCCTTTGAAGCTGAATCAGACATTAGGTCGTGGATGCTGATAACAAATCTGGCCTGCTCGCCATCAGTGGTGATAATTCGCTTGGCCACGGTGTCGTTTATGGGCATGGCCACTGTGTCATTAATGGGCAAGCCGGTTGTGGCATTGTAATACGTTGCATCGTCGTAATAATAAAGACTCCCATTGCGTGGGACTACCCGTTCGTCACCATGCATCATGGTGAGGCAGGGATCAATTGTAAATACGAAACTGCATAGCGTGCAGTCTGGTGTGCACTCATGCGAGCACACAGTGTTGGCATACAGCGGCTGAATCCATGTCCCAACAATCAGACCGAGGAGCAAATAGACGAAGCTTTTCATGTTGTGTCGCTGTGCCCGTCCTCGCCTGGCAAAGAAACATGGTGACATATTGTTACTCAAACCTGTTACCCGACTGTGTTGAGATATATGATAAACGCATGTCTAACCACATATACGACACGGTACTAGTCCTAGTATTGGTGTGGCTACACTACCGCTACCCCTATTACTGATACGTGATACATATCTGCCCATGAATCTACACATTCTAATATTGTATCACAACTACTACCTTCAATACCTATAATTTTCATGTGGCTACAAAATTATGCATGCATGGACTCTTCATTGTTACTCCTATCGTTACTATTGATAGTATTGACATTACATCTACCAATACTACTACTATCTACTATTTCTCTCATTTCGAGTCTCTCCCACATTGAATTGACCCACCGTAATATATCACCTAATATCTCCCCTATAACCACTTTCACGCCAATTCTACCATTTCCAAACTGTCAATCACAGGATTGTCTGGTCCAGAGTCGATTATTTACAGACCGCCGTCATATAGCTGGAATATTGCTGAGTGCGGCGTTAAACAACAAACAAACAAACATTTCCAAGACGAAATCCTTTCCTCAATCCGTATTTTATGTACAACAGCAATACAAATAACTTTATATTAGTTCCAATCTTCTTTCGTTTCTTATACAATCCAAAAACACTACTTGGATACTATAACCTTGAGAAAACATTCTCGTGTATCAATAAACATGAATCAGTTGAACTCACCTTATTTGTGATAAAGATGTGGAAAATGTTTCAAACACAGAGTAATAAATGATCAAGAAGAGTTACCTTACGCCATATTGCTTTCCAGCAGGTGAATACTCCCTTGCTGGTGGGGGTGGTTTGACGGGTTATTTAGAGAAGCGGTATACCCGTACGCCTCATGACTAACCTGGCTGCATGCATAATTCACGCAAGTCTTTACAGCCTCAATGCTGCCTTTCATCGACTTTCAACGTACACCTTGAGATCCGGGTAGTGTTGACGGGATTCACAAATGCAGGTTGACAATGCTCCGGTCCGGGTTGCTGGCGCATGAACGATATTTGCTGAGTGTTTGTATTCCGACCATTATATGTTATTATAAAGCTGATCTCCCACACGTTCAACTCACGTCGCATTACATAGGAAACCAGTCCATAAATTTGGACAACATTCTTTATCTATTTGTTTAAATCTGACATTAACGACACAAGGCAAGTATGAAACTCGAACACGTGCATTGTATTGAATGTCCTTACGAATGCTAAAGCCTTGGGGTCTGTTGTTAGATTACACAGTTTTTCGAAACATTGCTTTGCTACAACTGAGCGATGTTTGAGGGTAAAATAAATATTGACTCCCGTTAGCCCGAAGTTCGAAAGAACGGTTAACTTTGTCATAATCTTGAGTTCCTAATGATGGTAGTGTTAGTGGGTGAATGAGTGAGGTTTTTTTTGCGACGCTTTTAACATTATTCCTGCAATATCACGGCAGGGGTGATCATATTCTCACATTGTACCAATGTGTAGATAGGAGAATGGAGTGTAGAGTGTAGTTGGGACACGTAGTATACATTTAATTAAATATAATAATCAGAACTGAGGTATTCGTATGCTCTTTCAAAGAGAGAATATTTACAGCTAATCCAGCTTGGATCAGGAACACTAGTGGTCGATAGAATGATCAACAATTCAGTGAGTGAGTGAGTGAGTGAGTATGGTTTTACGCCGCTTTTTAGCACTATTCCAGCAATGTTACGGCGGGGGTGACCAGAAATGGACTTCACACATTGTACCCATATGGGGAGTCGAACCCGGTTTTTTGGCTTGGCGAGCGAACGCTTTAACCACTAGTCTACCCCACCGCCCTATCAACAATTCACACCTCCGGGGCACGATGACACACATTCAGCCAGGTCACACATTGTAACCACCCTATCATAATTGAAATCTGCTCCATAACTAAGCAGGCATGGGGTACGCATACGCCGGTACGTGTATTGTATTTTGACAATATAAAAGTATCACTTACCGGCGCATTAGTATGCAAAATGACCTTTTCATTTTGAGAATAAAATCATTCTACATTAATTGAATTGTAGGTCAACAGTAGGTCTAAAACAAGAGTTATTCCCATGTATACATGCTTATCTCAAAGCGGCAAAACAGATAAAATAGGCGTATGTGAGGAGAGTGACCCAATCTGGTGACTTGTCGAACACAATGCGGCCGTTCTTGGTCTTACTTTGTCTAGCCACTGCTATCCTGTAAGTTGCTGTAACTGTTGTTAATGTTTAGTCCTGCAGGTACATTTCATTTCATAACGGTATATAGGGGGCACGGGTGGCCCAGTCGTCTAAGGCGCCGCGATTCGCTGTGCAGAGTTGCGTCCCTTGGCCACGCCAGAAACCTATGATTGTGGGTTCGAATCCCGGTTCGCTCCGATTATGTTTCTAGGTTTGTCAGCACCATACCCGTGCTCGTGGGTTTCACCGAAGTGGTAAACGTCTGAGACCTGCATCACTTCGGGCTTTCCTCCCACATTAAGCTGACACGCCGCGATATAACTGGAATACTGTTAAAAGTGGCGTTAAACCCAACTCACTCACTATAACGGTATATCATCATGATTATAATTACTTATAAAAGACGGTCCATTTGTTTAAGGTCCCTAGCCTCTAGAACTGTAAAATCTGAGATGTACGGAAAACCTTGAAATATGTTTCTGAAACTTATTGAACGTGTATTTTTTAAAATAAATTTCTTTGACTGGTGAAGCAGTGGAGTTCAACAATGTGAAAACAGTCTGAACTTGAAGAACAGATCTCATCTAAATCCGTGAGCAAAAATAAATAGTTCACCATATGTTTTCACGTTCAAACAAAAAGACCCAAGGAATTGTAGACAAAGCTATCGTTGCCGCTCCTATCGACATATCTTCGTTGACTGTACGCACACGTTCACCTATTAATCTGGACGGAGTCATTCCCAGTGAAATTGTCGCAATCGGTATGCAGTAATTTTATATTTATGTAGACTTGAATTTTGTTACCGAAATTTTCTGCGCTTACGGACAAACGGGGACTCCCTGGTTCTGACAAATAAGAACATTACGTGTATACTGTTTCATACAAGTTCGGATCAACATTAAATTATTCTACAATCCCACTAGTGTTGAACGACTTTTTCGGATTTAAGGAGATTAGTTCTTGTTAAAAGTGATTTTTTGTTATATCAATGCTAAATGAAACTGATAGTGAGGGAACGCTATGTTGTTTGAACGACCCCTGACCTCGTTAATCGCAATATTGTCATTATCTAAACTTATCGTCATGTATGTATTCTGACCTTTGGTTGAAACTCTTAGTGCAGCGGAACACAATTATAGGTACGGGTTTTAAATTGAAGCACCATGGACACGTATGTTTATTGTTTGTTTGTTTGTTGTTTTACGCCGCACTCAGCAATATTCCAGCTATATGACGGCGGTCTGTAAATAATCGAGACTGGACCAGACAATCCAGTGATTGATATCATGATCATCGATCCACGCAATTGGGATCAATGACCTGCATCAACCAAGTCAGCGAGCCTGACCACCTGATCCCGTTAGTCGCCTCTTACGACAAGCATAGTCGCCTTTTCCAGCAAGCATGGGTTGCTGAAGACCTATTCTACCCCGTATCTTCACGGGTCTTATGTTTATTGTGACAACCTTTCACACACACTGATGGACAGTATTCAATTCATATTAAATGATGTGTTGTACAACTATTTGTGCATTTGAAAAAGTATTTAATTTGTCAATAGTATAAGGCTTATAGTGAGTGGGTTTGGTTTAAAGTCGCGTGGAATAGTATTTTAGTTTGGAGTTGCATGTCAACTTGATGTGGGGTGGCATTTAGTGGTTGAGCTGTGTTTAACGCCGCTTTTAACGGTTTTCCCATTATATTAATGTGGGGGGAAAGCCCGAAATGATGCAGGTCTTAGACGTTTACCACTTCGGTGAAACCCATGAGCACGGGTATGGTGCTGACAAACCTAGAAACATAATCGGGGCCAACCCACAATCATAGGTTTCTGGTGTTCCAAGGGGGCGCAACTCTGCACAGCGTTTCTCCTTGTCGGGTGGCAGAACAGTCGAAAGTTATGCAGGTCTTAGAAGTGTACCACAAAGGTGAAACCCACGAGCAGGGGTTTTGTGCTGACACACCAGAACCATAATGAAGACGAACCTGGATTTGAACCCCCGACCACATATATACCCCGTTCACACGAACCCTGAATATATCTGTGTTTATCATATAATTGGTAGGTTCCTCGGCAGGATAAAGCCAACGGATAAAAACGATATCCGTTGGGGTCATATGCGGATAGAGATGCAAATATCAAAGGTCAAGTAGGACTACTTTCACTGTTTATAAACAAGCATGGCGTCGCCCTCGTCATTCGGCGATCGAGTCAGAATTAATCATCGTGAATCTGGATAAACTACAGGGATAATTGCTATCATTATCAAACGAACAGTCTAATATACTAAAAATCAGTGTCTAACTGTGACGTAGCTAAGGCATTTTATAAGTTTTGGCAACTTTCGAGATATAAATTTCGAAACAATTTTGCGAGGGCACGAGGTCTAGCCAAGCGGGATCAGTAGCCATATCTGTGCTTGTAGACCTCTGTGGCTTGAAACCTTCTCCACAAATCAAAATGGTTGGATTCGGCCGAAATATGTTTGAACTGTTACCTTGTTTCGTTTTGTCGCTGTGTGTACATCTGACTACACTTCTTAACGTTATGAAAGGACAGACCGACTGTCAACAACGTCTGACCGTGGCCGTGACGTCTCATAGACTAGAGTTAGAGTAGCTTCCCTTTGACAAAGGGCAGTTACTCTAGCGGACAGACCGATGGATTGCCGCGAAAGGCAATTAAAAAAAACTGTTGTTTTGCCTATAAGTTGCTTCGCCACTGTATAAGAAACAGATTTCAGTTGGAACTATATTGTCTACTGTCACTGTCCGACTGACTAATCACTTACCCTGTGACGTAATAAATATTAATGCGCGCATTCCAGGAAAACTCGCAATGTTTCGGTAATGTTTGTGAGAGAGGGAAAGCGATTTTAAAGCACAGAATTAAAGAATGACATTATATGATAAAGAGTTTATCACGCTTGTGTGTTTGGGGATGGTAAATATCCTGTATTAGGAATAAACACTATGTATTTAGCTCGCCAAGGCTCGCTAAATACAATGTTTATTCCTAATGCAGGATATTTACCATCCCCAAACACACTCGCGTGATAACCTCTATATATTTGCACACGTGGCTAGACTTGTCATTTGAACGCGTTTACTCATATGTGTATAGTTTCACAATGTAATTTTACACAACGTATGGAGACGGTGCAATGTAAATTTATACAAGTCCAAATTGGCACTGTATGTATATGTTAGCATTTCACTGATGCCAGCGCCATTGCGAAGATCGATGCTCATTATATCAATCACTGGATTGTCTGGTCCAGACTCGATTATTTACCGACCGCCGTCATATAGCTGGAATATTGCTGAGTGCGGCGTTAAACAACACACCAACCAACCAAACAAACAAACTTCTGTATTTAAAGTTGACGCTTTTCAGTATATAGCAATACCAACTTTCATGCTGACATCCAGAGCTGACATCTTTGAGTTTCAGGGAGCCAAACGTTCTGTACAGATTAAATCAAACACATGTAGGTTCATGCGGCGATGTTTGCAATGTTTGTTATACAACTCTCTTCTAATTCGACCGCATCCGTGGTCTAGCGGTAGAGCGTCCGCCCGGAGAGCGGAAGGGTCGGGGTTCTATCCTCGGCCGCGTCATACCAAATGACGTTAAAAGATGGTACTAGTTGTTACCCTGTCTGGCGCTCGGCATTAAGGGGCTAAAACAAGGACTGGTAGGCTCGGAGTCAGTATAGTCAGGCATTGTATCTCAGTTAGCTGGCACTATAAATCGGCATCAGTCCGGACTAGTACAAGCAGCCACATAAACACACACACGTACATGCACTTTGCTATATAAGTGGAATAATCTTGGACGCGACGTTAAACCCCATTTTACACCTCTTCTAATTCGACTTTGATTGGAAAACAGACTGATGTGTATGTGTACATCAATTACATGATTTATTTACACACCTTAGTTAATTTTCATGTGAACTCTGTGAACTTACATATACACGCGTACGTATAATTACTAGTGTGCAATATTACTTACGTGAGTAGATATTGTGCATGTGAACGTGGTATAATATAAGGGGCGTAACTCTGCACAACTCTGCACAGCGAATTCCGAGCTCCCGGTATAGAGAATATATACTTCAAATATCGAATTTAAACCGTGTATGCGTTTTGTAAACTTAAAGTGTAAGAGCAGTTGCGCAAACGTGTTGACGTGGCTCATTGTGAGTCGTCACGCCCCCATAGCGTGGATAGTTGCTACAATGTTTTCAGTAACTATTTGCTCTAGTGCCAGCTCGATTAACAAATGCCACTCTCACTCAATCGATATATTGTCAAAGACTTGACAGTGCTGGCATCATCACAATGGGGTCGGTGGGGTAGCCTAGTGGTTAAAGCGTTCGCTCTTCCCGTCGAAAGCACGGGTTCGATTCTCCACGTGGGCACAATGTATGAAGCCATTTCTGGTTCCCCGACGTGATATCGCTGGCATAAAACCGTACTCACTTAGTCATTATCGCCATAATGGACTCCTCTTGACTCGAGCTACGGTTAACACGATGCTTTTGCTTTTCCCTGGGACGTCTAGATATCGAGATTTTTTCCCCTTTATAAATCTGCTCATTTAAAGATGCAATTGGGATTCAGGGTCCTGTGCATGTTTCAATGTATATATTGCACATGTATCAAACTCATAGTCCAACAATTATTGATCTCCCAGGCTATTGGAGGCAGCTTGTCCCGGTGACTGCCACTACAGCGGCCGCTGCCAAGTCAACGCCTGCCATTGCTATGCTGGCTTCCAAGGGTCCGATTGTAGCACCGACTGTGGATGTCAAGGCCATGGCACATGCGCACATGGTGAGATGATTATATGCTGAAAGTAGGTCATTAAATGTAACGGATGTGTATGATTGCAACCTATTTCTGAGGCACGTTAACAACGGCACACCTTGACTAAAGTACGGGGAAATATACATTACTAAGGGACATGAAATGTTTATACCTCCAATGTTTTAAGGTAATAATCATTTATTTTAATGTAAACATTTTGGTTGATAAATCATCATGTATAGTAATAAATATTTTAATGTGAAAATTTATAACCGTTCAAACTCAACCCCTTTCAGATAAATAATCCTGTTGTAGGAAGTAGGTGGGAGGTGGGAATAAAAATACAACGTGTCCCCAAAAATCCTTGAAAAAGATATATTTGTAAAAAAGTGGCTTGCCACAAAAATTACGTTGTTGCTATGTGTATTTCTTTTAAAACATTCAGGCTTATAGCCTGAAATAAAGGAAATATCTGGTTTTGTAGCTGTAGCTGATATCTAATCTCGGTACCCCCAGAATATAATATGACCGATCCCTAACCCCCAATTCCGTGTTTCTGACTTCAAGACGGTACCTGCCAGTGCGAGGCAGGCTGGAGATGGGACGGCGGTCAACGCAAGTGTGTGTGGGACTGTCATTGTCAGAACGGTGAGAGAAGCTTTGATGCATCCGAACTGTATATCGTACAGTATAACTAAACCTAAAACTAAAGAATACACGCTTGTGTCATGGTGGCTAAAATGAAGCAAACAAGAAACTATTATTCGATGGTGGCGTATTTGATACAGCAAAGGCGATATTACACGCCCTCCACCTGAAAGGACATCGCGATATATCGCGATTATTTATTAACAAAAAGAGCCGCATGTGTTCTAATAATTATAAAGTGAAAATAAGCCATTCAGCCAATAAGGATAGTTACAGTAATGACAAAAAATGCAAAATGCGCTTTTCATGAAACATTCATTTCGTGCTACTATTTCAAGTGGCGAGGACTGTCGTGACGTTTTAAGAACGTTTGTAATGTTTTGGTCGAATCCAATTTTCAAGTGAAAACTTACTTTCGCCCGAGACTTTATTAATATTCCAGATACTGCCACACATATTTACTTAACCGAAATGAAACGAACGGACAAAATTAATGAAGTTACTATATCGGATTTTTTAATGCTAGTATTTGAAACTCAGTATTGACTGTCTTAAACACACCTATCGGGGGTACGGGGGTCCCGGCCGTCAATGGTGTCACAATTCACTTTGCAGATTTGCGTCCCTAAGACGTGCCCGGAATCTGTTGTGGTAGATTTGAAGCCGAGATCGGCCCTTAAACTTGTTTCGTTGTGACAGTCTCGATCCTGGGTTCGAATCCCTGTTCGCCCTGATTATATTTCTAGGTTTGTCAGCACCATACCCATGCTCGTGGGTTTCAACACAGTGGTAAATTTAAACGTCTGAGGCATGCATCACTTTGGGCTTTCCCCCCACATTAATCTGAGACGCCGTGATAGAAGTGAAATACACTTCAAAGCGTCGTTGAACCAAACTCACTCACTCACTCTCGCCTTATGACTATTATGCTAAATGAGGTATAATGACAGTTTGGTAATAGCAGGAGTATATCACAATGTTACACTCACACATACACCTTCATCTGTCCACAGGGAAAGGCTGTATCGGCCCCGGGGAGTGCGGCTGCACACACACGTGTAGATATGGTGCCTGTCGTAACGGTCAGTGTGTGTGTTGGGAGGGCTACAAGGGACAGGACTGCTCCCAATATGATCCTAACACGTGAGTTGAGAGTCCGGCACATTCTATACGCTTGGTCAAATGGGTCCACTGACAAACCCTTTCTGAAAACCGCACGCATTCACATTCATGATAAGATGATAGTTAATGTAATACATAGGATGAACATTATTATTTCATAACCTGCATTGGGGCGATGGTTAGCCTAGTGGTTAAAGTGTCCGCTCGTCACGGCGAAATTCCGGGTTCAATTCCCATGGTACAATCTGTGAAGCCCATTTCTGGTGTCCCCCGCCGTGATATTGCTCGAATATTGCTAACAGCAGCGTAAAACCATACTCACTCGACCTGCATTATATAGTGAAGTCAATTTTCTTTCAAGAAGTTTGTGTAAACATGACAGCGATAAAAAACATCATTTCAGCCAATTGACAAAAAAATTAATTAAAATTTTAATTAATATCATATTTTGGCAACAAAGGCAACAATTTAAGTGAGTGGAGATAGTATGACTCAAATGACCCTGCATCACGCACCTGCCAGCGCCCGTCAATCTGTGGCGCATTAATGCCCGAAGCGTCCTTAAAATACCTACAATACCACACAGAGTTGAAACCCAAACCTACTAACACACTAAAACAAATTCTGCGCATGTTCACGTAGAAACTAAAAACCGAGGACAGATACACGACCGGTCAGGCTTTTCCAATAGCACACATAAGGCTACAAGGAAACGGAATTAACAATAATGAGTCACAGGGTCACATTTGCCTCAGGAATCCACGACGCTGCAATTCGCGGATCAGAGTTTCGCCCCTTGGGTGTCAGAGGCCATGTTTGCCTCCTGATTAAGAATCTCTGTTTGTCAACTCCGTAGTCATGTCGGTATGTTTTACCAATGCGTCAAACGTCCACGACCTTTGTGCTATTCTCGTGCATCAAGCTTACACACCTTCTTACTCATGTTCTAACACACCTTATGACACAAGTGTTAAAATACGTTTCCGGACCTAAATTCAATTCACTCATATACTTTTACACATCGCGATCGTCTCATGCCTGCGAGGAGCTGTACAATTCCTGAGTGAGTGAGTTGGGTTTAACGCAGCTTTTAACAGTATTCCAGTTATATCACGGCGGGTCAGCTTAATGTGGGAGGAAAGCCCGAAGTGATGCAGGTCTCAGACGTTTACCACTTCGGTGAAACCCACGAGCACGGGTATGGTGCTGACAAACCTAGAAACATAATCGGGGCGAACTGGGATTCGAACCCACAATCATAGGTTTCTGGCGTGGCCAAGGGACGCAACTCTGCACAGCGAATCGCGGCGCCTTAGACGACTGGGCCACCCGTGACCCCGTACAATTCCTGATGTCGCATTTAGAAAAACAGACATCAAATACGTCCAGCCAGACAAGTTTGTCTCACACATCCATATTTTCCCCAGACGGTGTGGTAGCTTAGTGATAAAAGCGTTCGGGTTTGATTCTCACATTGGTGCATATGAAGCCCATTTTTGTTGTCACCCGCTGTGGTATCGCTGGGATACTGCTGAAAGTGATGTAAGCCCCAACTCATTCAAATCTCCCCGCAGCATGATGAGCCATGGCGTGTCAGTAGGCATCAACCTCGCCGACAACGACTACTTCACCCCCGAGGTGCACTTCGTGGACATCCATAAGCAGTCCCAGAGCTGGCTGACCCAGAGGGTGGGGAGCAGCACGTGGGACACCAAGGAACAGAGTCACATCCACTGGAGGCCGGACGGCTACCCCGCCAGTCTGCAACGTAAGATCATGTCATCGAGGCCGAGACGGGTGGGGTGAAATGAGGTTGGACGTCGCGTTCACGTTCCTTCTCTCACACAGAGGCGTACATGAACGTTCACCGTTGGATGCATGCGGGCTGGACATATGCTGGTTTTATATCGATAACCCACTGAGACACATAGTAGTTCAACATGGGTAACCCACTCAGACACATTATTCTGACTCCGATACGAGTCTTTACTTTATTTCTTTAATGCCGCCAGGCAGGGTAACAATAAGTTCCACCTTTGAACGACTTTTGGTAGTATGACGTGGTCAGTGTATCGAACCAATAAATACTAAGGAATCAATGAAAAACTAACTGTAACCATTCATGCTAATTGTTCTTTACCATCTCGATATGACACATCGTGTAATTTCAGCCAATCAGAAGTTGGTTCAACTTGTAATGCGCGGCTTCGCTTCCCACGAACCTTCGGGCCAATACACGATCCTGTATGATGGCGAGGGGGAGGTAGATGTAGGACTTACAGAACACCACACAATTCATGATGGAAAAGGTAAATCGCTTTACTTAAACCAATAGCACTAATCAACTCTACAGGCATATTGTCGTTGTGTCATGGTGTCCTAAATACAAAAAGAAGCAAGAAGAGGCACGGTTGCTTTCAAGGAGTTGTGTCCCTTAGCATTGACAGGATCTGCGCGGGTTAGAATCTTAGCTTCACTCCGATTATGATCACCAATGTGTATGCCCTTGCATGTTGGTTGCGTTTAACCTCAAATACACATAGTTAAGCTGGCCCGTGAAGATCCGATTTAGATCTTCCGCAATCCATACGTGTCGTAAAGGCGACAAATGGGATCGAGTGGTCAGGCACGCCGACTTGGTTGATGCATGTCATTGTATTCCAATTGCGTAGATCGATGTTCATCATATCAATCACTGGGTTGCCTGGCTCATACTTGATTATTCACCGACAGCCGTCTTATAGTTGGAATATTGCTGACTGTGTCGTTAAACAATAAACAAACAAATAAGCTGCTCTCTATGATGCAGTCGTTGACATTCAATATCTAGTTTTAGAATTAAGCAATAAACCCTTTGTGTATCTGGCTTTCTGGATACCCGTTGACATCACAACTGACACAGAATAGTTAACGTGATACTTTACTTAAAGAATTCATTGTTTTACTAATCGGTAAAGATAAAGAATGCCAGCCCACCAGTTTCTTGTTGTCGGAAAACCACGACGACCTGCGTATTTAACGGTAATTTACTGGTTAATTTCACTTAAATTACATCTCGTCAAGTGTTCATTTTGCATAAAAGGATATCTCCGCTTTAAGGTGTCGCGAATGATAATTACTGAATTGTGAATCATCTTCTCACATCCATTTACCAGGAAGGTTAGTGGTCAACATGCCTAAAATTGGCGATGGAAGTTTCACACTAGAAGTCCTGAGAACGAACCCAAGGAACCCCATCCACAACATCCGGGTACTTTCGCCAGGATACGAGAACTTGTACGAGAGGTTCCCCTTTCATCCCGTGTTTCTAGAGAACCTCAAACGATTCTCGGAGATCAGGTTCATGGATTTCATGAGAACAAACGCACATGAGGTAATTAAATTCATACAGCAAGAAAGTTTATTTTCCAAGAGGAAATTAAATGCAATAATTGTTACTAACGAAAAAGAAATATCAGCATGCATCTTTTTGTATCACCGTGACACTTGGACCGGGGGTCCCTGTGGGTGCGGGTGCGGGTGCGGGTGCGGGTGCGGGTGCGGGTGCGGGTTTTGTTTGTTGTTTAACGCCGCATTCAGCAATATTCCAATTATTAACTCACTCGACGTTTCAGCCTGAGCCGACGACGTGGGCGACACGCCGTCGGCCAGACTACTACACCCAAGTGGGTCCGTACGGAGCCGCTGTGGAGCATATGATACACCTGGCCAACACACTGGGAGCAAACCCTTGGTTCAACATGCCCCACGCAGCCGATGATAACTACATCAGGAACTTTGCAATGCTTGTGAAGAAGGACCTTCGGCCTGACCTGAAGGTAGGGTTGATACATCAGTGAAGAAACTTGGTTGTAGGATGAAGTGCTTATGTGCAGGGGCCTGGTGGATCTGCCCGTAGAGCGGTAGGGTGGTCGATTCCCGACCGCGTCATACCAGAAGACCCTGAAAGATCTGACTTATTCCTACCCTGCCTGACGTTCGGCTGTCTCTAAGTAGGGTATCTGTGTTAAACTGCCGTATGCACACACACATGTGCACGACGATATGTACGCCCTTGAAACAGGGAGCCTTAATAAAAATCGTATGTAGGATCTCTCATTGAAATCAACTTTAGAGTAGGATTTTATAACGCTTTTAGTAAGTCGTGATAAGCTCAGGTTATGTTCGGGAGGCGATTGCGTCTTGATAGAGTACATCTTGTGTTTATTATTCAGGTGTACATTGAGTACATTTTGTGTTTATTCAGGTGTACATATAGTACATCTTGTGTTTATTCAGGTGTACATAGAGTACATCTTGTGTTTATTATTCAGGTGTACATTGAGTACATCTTGTGTTTATTCAGGTGTACATAGAGTACATCTTGTGTTTATTCAGGTGTACATAGAGTACAACGCTTTGAGTAAGTCGTGATAAGCTCAGGTTATGTTCGGGAGGCGATTGCGTCTTGATAGAGTACATCTTGTGTTTATTATTCAGGTGTACATTGAGTACATCTTGTGTTTATTCAGGTGTACATAGAGTACATCTTGTGTTTATTATTCAGGTGTACATATAGTACATCTTGTGTTTATTCAGGTGTACATATAGTACATCTTGTGTTTATTCAGGTGTACATTGAGTACATCTTGTTTTTATTCAGGTGTACATGGAGTACATCTTGTGTTTATTATTCAGGTGTACATAGAGTACTCTAACGAGGTGTGGAATCCCATCTTCCGCCAACACGCCTACGCCATGGAGCAGGGGAAGAAGCTGAAGCTGGACCCAGCTGACTGGAAGGCGGGGATGAAGTTCTACAGCAGGAGGTCCGCCCAGGTGGCGGACATATGGCAGCAGGTAAGACACCGTCATGACGTGCACACGAGACAGAGACTAACACAGGTGGCGGACATATGGCAGCAGGTAAGACACCGTCATGACGTGCACACGAGACAGAGACTAACACAGGTGGCGGACATATGGCAGCAGGTAAGACACCGTCATGACGTGCACACGAGACAGAGACTAACACAGGTGGCGGACATATGGCAGCAGGTAAGACACCGTCATGACGTGCACACGAGACAGAGACTAACACAGGTGGCGGACATATGGCAGCAGGTAAGACACCGTCATGACGTGCACACGAGACAGAGACTAACACAGGTGGCGGACATATGGCAGCAGGTAAGACACCGTCATGACGTGCACACGAGACAGAGACTAACACAGGTGGCGGACATATGGCAGCAGGTAAGACGCCGTCATGACGTGCACACGAGACAGAGACTAACACAGGTGGCGGACATATGGCAGCAGGTAAGACACCGTCATGACGTGCACACGAGACAGAGACTGACACAGGTGGCGGACATATGGCAGCAGGTAAGACACCGTCATGACGTGCACACGAGACAGAGACTGACACAGGTGGCGGACATATGGCACCAGGTAAGACACCGTCATGACGTGCACACGAGACAGAGACTAACACAGGTTGACATTGGAGGTACATCAAGCTGACTGCTTTATTAAATCGAGATTGCGTAACTTTTAACATACTGAAATCAAACCTCCTTAAGTTGAACAGTCATGATTCCAGGTGAACATGTGTTTGGAAGAAAAAGAAAGAAAAAAACCAAAGGGGATGTTTTCAAAACCAATTTGACTCATTGCAATTACATCCTTCATTATTTTGAGCTTTGACTAAAATTTGAAATATTCCGACATTGTGTCCGACATGGATGACTGTTTACACTGTTGAACGCGTGATGGGTTTATGTCGGTTCCAGCCATAAATAAACTGTCCATGGTCTCCAGGTGTACGGAACACTCAGCTCCAGGCTGTATCCAGTGTTCTCCTGGCAGACTGGGTTTCAGGACTACTTCAGGCAGGCGGTCGAGGCTGTGGGCAACAAGATCAGCAGCTTCAAGGCTCTCGCCATCACTGGATACTTCACATGTAACAAAGTAGCTGACGACCACGTGAGTACATAGCAGTGAGTGAATGGTGCTGGTGTGTAAACATTTAAGTGTGGATAGACACACGAGTAACTGAAAGCATGAACATCGAGCCACACCATCGGAACACGATGACCAGGATATCCTCTTATTAGGTGACTGTTACAAGAAACACGAGTCTCTGGGCACATATCCTGCTCCACAAACTGATCATATACAGTCAAACACATGTATATAAGGCCATGGGTTCATCGATATTGCACTTTGTCTTCTGTGGTTCGACACAAACGGAGTGTCGAAATTATTTCATTGAATCCTAAAAAACGCTACAAAGCCTAGCCATAATCAAAACAGTTACGATAATAGTCTAAAAGTCACGTGTTATAACCATGGGCACCATCTGCCCTCCCATTCTTGCTGATCTGTTTCTTAATGCATTTGAATCAGAATTTCTGCTCAGATTGGAAAGTCAAAACAAGGTAATTTCACCAAAATGTTTAACTTATGCTTCCGGTATATAGATAATCTATCATTATCGTCCAATAAACACCAAACAGCCAATTTCCTTGCACTGATTTACCCACCTCAACCTCTTTAGCTAAACCAACACCGTGTAAAATGCTTTGGGCGATTGATATATATGATTTTACACACCTAAATTGCAATGTGAACGGATGCCATCACTGAAGAAGGATCATGATATATGAATACACCTGTAATATAAGTGTATGATGTGACAATGCCGTTTGTTTTTAAAGGGTGTTCTGAAAAAAAATTCTTTGTCAATATCTCAGAAGGTCGATTCTTCAATGTATATTGTACTCCTTAAATGCATTTCGATATCATATGGATGTCATGGATTAAGCAACATCCATGTACAGAAAAATATATATATTCCCCAGGGAGCTGAGATGCTCCACATGTCGATGGCCCAGATACAACAGTACTGCAAGAACGAACTCCCTGCCATGCAGAAGTCCTTCCAGTACTTCATGAATCTAGCAAAGGTAGTGTCATTGATCTAGACGCAGTGTCAGCATAGGAAGAATGAAATAGAAAAACAAATCTGAAAAAATATTAGAGCTGGGGATTGTTTTTCCTGTTAATAAACTTATCAATTGTCAGATACGTAAATCAAGAAATTAAAATTCAACCTCTTTCACTTTGGTGTTACTTTATGTAAATTAATCTGCTTGGTTCTAATGTCAGGTAATGAAAAGAATGTCAAACTTACTGAAGACACCATTAGCATATCAATCGCTGACAACATGTATTATGTACATAAGCGAAAATTATCTGATTAATCTGTTTATGCAGACGCACCACCTTCAGCTGGTGATGTACGAGGGGGGACCGTCAGTGATGCAGAACAAGGTATTTAACGCTGGCGCTGCCAGTCAGGCCATCACAGACAAGGCAATCGCCTTCAACAAGGATAGTCATGTCGAGCAGCCCATCACAGATGTCATGAACCTCTGGTACCAAACCGTCACCCAGGACGCCAGCAATAAATACCCTGGTGGGTACCTTTAGCTTACCGTATTCGATGTAATAAGCGCCCAGGGTACTCTCAAAATTAGAAATAGGGAACTCTTATTAGAATATTATTTTGGTGAAAAAAACCCAGAGTTGGTTTATGCTGACAGCCTGATTTATATACAACAAAGATACTTTTCCAGAATTTACTTGCCCATAATTAAGGGTGCATATAACACACGTGTGCGTATTAAATAAGTCTTGTGTACATTGATCAGTTGGAAGGAGTGCTAATTGGGATTGTTCACTAGCCAATATATTAGCAAATATCGCCGTGGGCGCTTATTAGAGCGGGGCGCTTATTACGTCGAATACGGTACTTTGAGTGAGTGAATGTTTTTTCTCAGATGGGTAAACTCATGGTCAGTGAATTATATCAGCATCAATCAGCTAGAAACATCAAGTAATAAATTGTGCATAAATATATGTCGTGTCCACACCGACGACTCTGCTCCAGGCGGCCTCTTCAACTACTTCGACTACACCTCCACCCCCAGCAAGTACGGCAGCTGGGGTATCCTGCAATACACGGGCCAGGACCCCAGCACCGTGCCCAAGTTCAGGGCTGTGCAGAAGTTCATAACTGATCATCACAAGAATAACGTCCTCGGCCCAAAGTGCAGCTTTGTGAAGGATGGGGCTATGGCCTATGGGTGCTATCAACACACATGGGGGAACTTCCAGTGTGGACAGTCCAGCGACAGTGGCAGAACATGGAGTGTAAGACTTCACCTTCTGATATTTAATAAATAAAGCGACAAAACCATTTCCTATCCAATAGAAATCGCTGCATAAAGCAGAGACTATAGTACGAGTCCGACTATATCATTAGCATGTGTTTCAGAATAACTATCAAACAGTGATGATAAAATACAGATCCTTCATTCTGTGAAATTCCGTGTTCCACCAAGGACTCGTAAATGTCGTTAATGCTAACTCGTCATGTCATAATCATAACATTATCTCGTCATATCGTTAGGGATGACTAATATTTTGGTGCCGACAGAAAGTGGACAACTGTGGTCTACTACGGATAAGTCGACACATGTTCGATGGTCTCAAGGGCTTCGAGTTAACGAGGTTTCACTTTCATATAACATCAAATGTTTGGCTGTATTTGTGATAGGAATGAATCGATTCTTATAGTGAGAAAGAGTTATTTGAAGTTACGTATTCACGTTTATCCACCTTTTTGAACAATTACATGACCTTAAAATATGCTCACCACTAAGGGTGTAGGAATTCAATACTTGAACATAAAAATACGAGTCATGGCTCAGCGTCCCGTTTAAAAAAAACGTTCTTAGCAGTACGACTGTCTTATCTTAAAATAAACATGAAGTGCTATCGATAAGTTCGCTTTGTAAAACGTGACCCTTGGCCACGAATCTGACAAATTATCTCTTATCAAAACACTTCAATCATTTGAACAATAACGCTCAACAGGCCGTATTGTATCCTAGGTAGCTAATGTACATCTATAGCGTGCAATTACCAATCGAACAATTAATATTTAATTCATTTTCAATTTTACATCATTAAAAATTTGATACTGATTTTGTAGTCGTACCCATCTGTGGGTCAGAAGTACATGGAATACATGGTTCTTGACGGATTCGACCCCCGGACTCATCACCTGTATATCCGCCATGTGAACTCCCTGGGAGCTAACACCTACCACGTGTATAACACCCGGACAAGGTCATGGTCAACGTGAGTTAAATAGTTATCTATAATCATTTTATTCAGATCACCAAACCTTAATAAATATCACCACTCACCAAAAAGGAATCAACACCACCACTCAAACAGTCAAATGTATGTAACAGTGACAGGACACCATACAAGTTGTTCAGTAAGAGGCGACTTACGGGATTGGGTGGTCAGGTTCGCTGACTTGGTTGATGCATGTCATCGTATCCCAGTTGCGTAAATCGATGCTCATGATGTTAATCACTGGATTGTCTGGTCCAGACTAGATTATTTTCAGACCGTCGTCTTAAAGCTGGAATATTGCTGAGTGCGGCGTTAAACAACGAACCAACCAAACACGTGACATACTAAGAGGCATACTAGACATACTAAGTTCTCCTAAAAGCAACACACAGTTTATATTTTAACTCTGATGACTGGCATTAAGGAAGTTCAAAGGCAATAAAATAATGGAACCACAACAGTTCACTGATTGGAATGAGGAGAGGTTATCAACAAGCTTGACACGAGTGGGTAGAACTTTTGACACCAGCAGTGATAACTCACCGGATGCCCATTGTGTAATTCCTATTCTTTGAATGACATTGTTATATACTTGTTACAACTGCTGCTCAAAAACCGTGATTGTGTATATATTCACATTGGTATTTCTGATGTCCAAAGTGTGCAATGAGGTCGTCTTATTGTTGATAGTCATTTGGAGACATAAATGCGAAGTTAATTAATGCGAACAAAGACCACTCGCATTTTTCACATTTAATTCACGCTCGCGTTAATTTCAAGCAGTGTTGCTGAGTGAGGCGTTAGAAAAAACAAATAAACAAACAAGTTGTATACAGAACATGTTTCAGTGAAACCCTAACAAAAGGCGACATACGGTCTATATAGGGCATTTTACCAAACGTTTGCTTTCGATATATCATTTAAGTCGAACTCTCCTCACCTGATATATAGTTGGAGTCGATGTTGTAAATACTACATTTTGTCTCGAACTACCAAAACGGATAAGCTGATTTTTTTCGATGGTTCGAGTTTTTGTCTGAATACTAAAGGTGTAAATAGGGACGGACAAATACCAGGTTTAATCTTGAATTTTTAATTTCGCCAGTTTATAATGTCATCCTCTATTTATTTCAGACAACAAAATTTTGCCTATTATCAGCAAGAGTCTTCCCCCGACGTTTTACCAAGAATGCCTAACGGTGTCTTCGGAGGCCTGAACGCTCATGCTACTTGTTAGCAAGAGTGAAGTTACACTGAAATATAAACATAAACCTTTCTTGTTTTTTAATTTATGTGTATCACGGCTTTTCCTTCAACAAGGCTGTTTCCATAATCATACCGACTGGGCCATCTATGCCACCCCAAAGAATGAGCCAGAAGATATTATTAAATGCAGCGAACAGTACCGCTTTGATTCCGAAGTAACGAGAATACAGCGACTGTTGTTGTGATTATTAAGGGTATCGTGTTATATTTTTGGAGAGGACTGTACTGTATGATATAAGCCAGGTTTCTATAATATGATGCTCAGTAGACGATGTACCCAGAAAATTGCAAACAATGTTGTTGCACAGTCAAGACCATCCGCAGTGTCACGTTTACTTATATAATAAATAAGAAAGGCCAAAGGACCGAGCCTTGTGGCACTCCAGCAGTCAATTATTGAGGAAGCGATATTTTGTATCGCGGTGACGATGTATGGGGTTATGAACAGTATCGTATGTACTGCAAACGTTTCGAACTATGTATTTAACATTATCCTACTGTGGTCGAAATGTCGATGCCTCGAAAGTACTTTTTCTGTAGTTTAATTCAGATAACCTTACATCTATCCGATTAAATAGTTAGCAGGCAAAAACAGTCCAGCACCGAAGCGCGTTTCAGTACAAACACAACCATTTAACATCATTCTATTTCAAAGACTTGATATTGTCCATACGGATTCAATGATTATGTGGTCAGTTATATGAATAATGTAAATTACACAAATGGTTGGTAAATGTATCATTAAATCATGTTCCTTCTCCGTGTTGGCTGGCCCTTTCTTGTAGCTGATGTTGTGGATGACAAAAATGGACATGAACAAAATCTGTCTGTGGCTAGAGCGGCCTAGTGGTCGATAGCGCCGCAACTCGCTATGCAGAATTATGTGTCTCAATGATGGGTTCGAATCAAGATTCTTAGTATACTAAGGTACTGACCATTTGCTATTCGTAGGTAGGTGTGGGGTAGATGGGATGGGGGCCGAGGATGTTATCGAAAACATGAATTACCCTAGAAAAGAATTACGCTTCAGACTGTTAAAAAAGAAAATCAAAGTAACTTCTCTAAGTATGCAGTTTACACAATTTATTTGAATCAACCTGATGTTAAGAAATGTCAACTCATTTCTTCTTCTTATTTTTTTTTTATAAATAAAAAACAAACAGATAAGAAGCTTAATAGTTAGTCAAATAATATATCATCATGGCAGTTAGCCTTATCATGTGACGGGACAGGTTGTTTTGCTATGAAGGCTTCGAGTGTCATTATTATCACATGGGAATCAAAGGGTTAATGGAACCAAAGTGTGGTTTTGCCAGTCAAAGTATTCCGTGATAATATAGCCTTGGACTAACGGATCGCATCTCCTACAACTGTCACAGCCAGCCGACCACAGGACATATCTTGTAGCTGAAGCAATTTCCTGTAATGAAACGATATTGTACCATTGGTTGAAAAAAAACATTCCAAAAGAAAAAAATGTCGTACAGAACCATGAACAGTATTGTGTGATTAACGAATCTTGTGTTGTATGGTATCAGTTATCGGGCAATGGCTAAAGACTTTATACAATATTTAATCATTTATCTAATTTGTATTTTCAGAGAACATTGCAAACACATACCGAACATTAACACTGGTATTAAACCGGTTGTTAGGAAAGTTGAGAGCCAATGCGATATGATATCCCAAGTATATTCCCTCCTGAAACATTAATGAACGGCATAAATTCACAAAAACTAAAGTAGATGATTCTATTCGTTTTATTTTGTAAGACCAGGTCAAAGAGATTTCTTGACTTACATGGCAGATGTCCGGACATATACTAGTCGCTGGCAGCCTGAGGCGTGTAGACATGTTCCTTCACAATGTATTGGTCAGATGGATCACGCAACCTTCATGAACATGAACTTATATATGTGTACGTGTGGCTTCTTGTACTTGTCCGGACTAATGTCTGTATTATAGTGTTAGCCCATTGAGATATCATGCAACATTTGGATGAATATCCCACTCATACACAGTATACTGACTCCGAGCCGATCAGTTTTTGGTTTATCCTCTTAATGCCGAGCGCCAGGTATGGTACCAACAAGTATCTTTCAACGTCTTTTGGTTAAACGCGGTCGGGGATCGAATCCACCAACATTACGCTCTCCGGGCAGGCGCTTTATTTAAAACACGGAGGAAGTCTTGCAGAATCTTGGAAATTGATTAAAGGGAGGGCTTCTTATTGTTATGAATTGAATACAAGGTGCATAACAAAATTAAGAGTGTTTATGGTAAGATTTTCTTTCCTTATATTTGGTGGGCGGTCGGGTAGCCTAGTGGTTAAAGCGTTCGCTCGTCACGCCGAGGACCCGGGTTCGATTCCCGACATGGGTACAATGTGTGAAACCATTTTCTGGTGTCCCCCGCAGTGATAATGCTGGAATATTGCTAAAAGCGGCTTAAAAGCAAATTCACTCACTCGCTACTTATGTTTGGTATTTCTAAACGAATCAGGTCAGAGATTTGATATTGAAATAGAACAGTACAGGAAATAGAGAAACTACTACATGACAAAATACATTCTAACCAACCTAAACCAAGCATTTTTTTCGGCTTCGGATCGGTTTACAATTCCAGCCAGTAACGATCAGGTCAAAGAAGAGATTTCTGCACTAAACGTTGCAATATAAGATCACACAGAGAGGCTACGTCCGCATTTCATAAACGGCAATTATAACAGCGTCTAAAACTGGCACCAACCATAGCAGAGTCCCCTTTTCAGAGCTTCTGAGAAATACATGTACGTGAGTATATTGATTTATCATTATCCTGAATTTCAAAATTATCATTTATCATATATCTGTATTCGGATATAAACAACATCCAATGTAGTAATTAGATATGCATTACCTCTGCTCGAGGGAAGAAACTTAATACGTTGCGGAAATTAGCAATTGATAATATATTTATCACTTAATTCAAAACTATCTGTTTAAAACTAAAACCATGGAGACACTGTCTACAACGCATGTAGGGTCGCTACATGTAGGGTCGATGATTAAATAAGCACGAATTTATTTATAAGAATTAACTTCAATACATCGTTTGGGTTTATGGAATTATGCGTAAATACACTTAGTCTACAAAATGCACACGTTTTTACGTATATACCTCCATAAACGCAAAACCACATTGGGGGCCATTCTTTAATATACTGTGCCATATAAAAGTAACTTAATATAGTAGAAAAATAGTTTCCATATGAAAAAAACACAACTGCCTTTAATTAAATTACACGTGAATTGACAAGGTTATGTCGATACACTAGTTTTACATGCATAATTTTACTGACAGGTAGTGCTGTCATTGTAAAGTATTTAGAATTGATAATGTTTACGGCTATGTGGCTCTCATGAGGGCCTAGACTAACATTTAGTCTCTGAAATCTTATATTACACAATATGCTTCAATATGCTGATTTCAGTGGAATAGAGCTAGCTTGAGCTGGCTAGACTTGCTTTTGTATCCATTTCTAGATTTTTTTCTCATAAAATAAATATATTCCACGGTCATGGTGCAGGACTAATGAGGGCCATGCTGTAGTATATATTTCGAAACATTTATGCTAACAATTTATGCTTAATTATTAAGATGATTGTTACATTGAACCCTTACGTGATGACATTTTCCTTCCGAAACAGACCCTACTGTATCCTATATTTCTAGTTAGTCCTGAGTGAGTGAGTGAGTGAGTATGGTTTTACGCCGTTTTTTAGCAATATTCCAGCAATATCACGGCGGGGGTCACCAGAAATGGGCTTCACACATTGTACCCATGTCGGGAATCGAACCCGGGTCCTCGGCGTGACGAGCGAACGCTTTAACCACTAGGCTACCCGACCGCCCCAGTTAGTCCTGAGATATACCAAGTAATTATGTGTCTGTAAAAGCATTTCTTCTAAAACAAGAAGAGTTTAATACATAATATGGTTTATCTCAAACAACATCTACCTTTAAGCAATGTCTGAAGGCGTTTATGTGTTGATGCAACAGAAATCTTCCTTATCCAGGTTACCGTCATCTTCGTAGGTACATGTCGTGAGATACGTGGTCCCGTTGCTGTGTTACTGTTGACAGACAGGTTACTATAGAAGTTGACCTTAAGTCGGGTCTGTGGTGGAAACTGTACACATGGGCCGACATAAGTTTGTTTATTGTTTTGTGTTGTTCGGGGAAATGCTGTTGTCTCTAGTGTGGGCGAATACGTGACTAGACGATGAGTTGAATACGTTATGGCTTCATCGTGTTCGCGGCCATGTAATCAGGACTGGACATGGCAAGTGTTAAGTTTAGTGTTACAGATAGGTGTGGCTAAGGTGTGGCTAAGGCGTGGCTAAGGCGTGGACATTTTGGCTGAGGATTACGTTGGGCAAAGGCAAGGAGGATACGTAATGAGAATGTTTGATGTTCCACGCATAATTCTAAAAACATTGTTTCATAACCATTATATTGGTTGTATTTCACGGTTATCACGGCTATCTGTAGATAGTCATGTCTGGCCCAGACAAACTAGTGATTGATATCATGAGCAACACCCTACGCTGTCGGGGTACAGAGGAAGGTGAGCAATCCACCAAGGCACCGAGCCTGACCACCAAACATTACCACACCGTGTGACAAGGAATATCACGCCGGAGACCTACTCTAACTCAGTTGAATCCCCATGGGGCCCGTTATATTAATCCATTACGCTGTTTATAATGTAAAGACGAACCTTCACTGAATACGTGAAGCCGAATAAATATGATGGTCCCTGGCAAAATATACAAAGAGACCAGTAGAATATTGTTAGATTAGAAACTTGAACCAAGGTTCTTTTCTAATACGGTAAACTACGATTATAACGAACACGCTTATAACGAACTGACGGATATAACGAACTAACTTTTTAGTCCCGACTATTTGCTGTAGTTATGCTGTATATATACTTGTATCGAACTACGGTTATAACGAACTAAAAATAGTAGTCCCTTT